GGGGGGTGGGGAGTGGGGAGGAAAGGAAAAATGAGGGGGAACAAACTAAAGAAAAATGGACATTTTAAGACACCTGTTCAGGGGATGTGACTAACAACCTAAGAGCTAACATGGCAGCTGCAAACTACCTTGTTTTGAATTCTTTTTAAGTACAGGACCATAAATCATCACAGAGGTGTAACCAACCTGTGCAATCGGCCCAGGCCTGACCAGCAGCCTGTCCATCACCCTCAGAGCCATCACAGAACACAGTGGCAGGGCTCCTTGCTGGAGAAGAAACAGAAAGCTTCCAGAACTTTCTCACAGGAGCCATCTTTGTGGTTTCTTGGTCCCATCCCCCCCCACCAAAAAAATGGACCGAGCAAAACCACCATAGGGGGTAAAGAATTCCTGTCTCCTAATGCTTCCCATTGTGTTAATTCTGGCCCATGTCAGTATCAATGTGCAGGAGGGAAACTGAGGGTAGAGGAGAGAGGAGCTGGGGAGGGCACTGCGGTGACTGGGAGAGGGTGGCAGGAACAGAGCAGCTGCTGGAGGAGAGGAAGGAGGGGCAGGGAGGAAGGAAAAGATTGCACTGACCTGTTGAGTGTGGGGCAGCAGCAGGCAAAGGGTGTCTGTCCAGATCAGCGGCGCTTCCTGGCATCTTTTGATCTTTTTTCGGATCCTTATCCTAAAGCAAATCCTCCCAGATCAGTAAATAGAGCAGAAAGAGCCCAGATCCCCAGGAGGTCCCCATTCCTGTCCCACCAGCTCCTCTCCGTGTCCTGTACTGGTGTCGCTCCCCAAGATTTGGTGGAGTCACGAGGGAGTCGGAAATTGCATCTTTGGCAACATCAGAGTTTGACTTCCTCTGAGTTACTTGTCTTCATTTTTGGTTTCTTTTTCTTTTTGCTGCTGAGGAAGTAGGTTTTGCCAGGAGCTGCACATTCAGATATTTGTTAACAGCTCTTCATTTCCTCCAGATTAGAAACATTCCTTCCCTGCAGAATGTCCCAATCTCTGACTGCCTTTCCTCTCCTGACAGGTTTTGACCATTCCTCGTTTCTGTTCCCTGAAGGGTTCATGGTCCCTCCAGGAGCAGAGGGATGCTGGTGCTGCTGCTGGCACTGGAATGCTGGTGGTGCTGGCAGTGCTGGGGAGGCAGCTGGGTGCTTCTCAGAAACAGCTCCCATTCTGGGAAGAGCACTGAGATCATTGAGAAACCTCCCCTCGCTTACTTCCCAAGGATGCCAAGAATTCCCATTGCTTTCATTCTAGAGCAGGCTGTAACAGCCCAAGGGAAGGACAGCAGAGAGTTGTTTACAGCCGGGTTGTCAGCACTCAGAGCCCACATTTATTACTCCCAATCCCTTTAATGATGCAATGAAATCTCTTAGGGACCAGATTTTGGGGTGCTGTGATCCCCTCCCAGCCCTTCACCAGCAGCTCATCCTCCTCCTCCTCAGTCTTGGGAGCACTTGTGGGTGTTTTCATCCGATCCCAGCCCTTTGCCAGCAGGGACACCTTCCACCAGACCAGATTGCTTCAAACCCCATCCAACGTGGCCTGGAACACTTCCAGGCATGCAGGGGCAGCCACAGCTTTTCTGAGAAACCTGTGCCAGGGCCTCCCCACCCTCAGAGGGAAGGATTTCTCTCTAACATCCAATCTGAACCCACCCTCTATCAGTGGGAATCCATTCCCCCTTGTCCAGTGTCCCTCTCCAGCTCTCCTGGAGCCCCTTTAACTCATGGATCATGAACTGTTTGCCATTGAAAGGGTTGGCCTGGTGAGGGGATGTGAGATTCCATAGCTGGGGACATGAATGCGGTGTTGGAAGGGAAGAGAGGAGGCAGTTCTGGTCCCAGGGTCTCCACAAATGCCAGTTTCCAGCAGGGGCATCCCAGCTCCCAGGCACATGCCAGTCTGGGCAGGAATAATTTCAACTCATTCCAGCTTTCTAGGAATTCCATGGAATTCACTGTCGGCTGCTATCTGACTCCCAATGGAGAATGGGAGAGGATTCAGATGAAACCTCGAGCTTTCTAAGGGTTGTATCCAAGAGAGCACCATTGATTCACCTCTTCTCAGAAAAATTTACATTCCTGAAGTCCTAAATCATCCCTCTGCTCTGTGCCTGTGCTCCAACTCATGCACAGAATTTATTATTCCATRAACGCTCTTGGGAACTGCCCAAAGAAGGTTAAATATCACTGAAATTGCATCGTACAAGTGGGAAAACTACATTTGAACCAGGAATCAAAATGTTGTAGTGCAGGGTCCTAAGGATCTTCCCCAGGAATGAGAGGGGGCAAGTTCAGACAGATCAAACAAAAGATTTCAGGGTTGGGGCTGCTTTAAAACAAAAGAGGAACCTGACACAGAGACAAAATGCTTTTGCTAGGAGGAATGGGGAGCTCTCAGAACTGTCAACAGATGGCTCATCCCAACCATTGCAGGCACCTGTCTTAGGAACAGCTCTGGTATGAGACAGGTACCTGCCCTCTGCAGACAAGGAAGAGGATTTAGAATGGGATAAAATAAGGAAATGAGCCATTTTTTTCTGCTGTTCACCAGGGATAGGTTTTGCAGAAAAGCCTRGATGTTGTTTATTCAACAAATTCTGGCATCAGAATTACCACATTGAGAACAAATAAAAGAAATAAATCCAAATTTGATTCAGGGGTAGTAATAAAAGGAAAAAGTTCAGTACAATCTGGATTTTGGTTGAAGGTTCTGTACAGAGTCACTGTTCAGTTCCTCCTGAGCATGACCAGGGTCAGGACAGAGATGGTCAAGGGTTTCCTTGGACATTGATCCTGGGGAACCAGAGGACAGCCCCATTCTGCAGAACAGTATCATAACCCACCAATTTCTGTACAATTAAATGGCCCAAGCACCTGGTGATGTGAATTTCCATATTCTGAGCTATTTTTGATCACAAGCACAAGGGTTCAGTGGAGTCAACCATCAACCCTGCACTTTACTCAGAATGATTTAATTCTGGAACTACAGAATGTGACAAATTCCCCCATAAGCAGAAGGGAATGTTGCTGTTCCTGCCCAGCTCTGCAGCCCTACCTGGTGCCAGCTTGGTCTCTTCCCATCAGCCGGGAATGCAGGGCCGGCTCTGCGGGACAGAAGGGGAAGGATGCTCCGGGCCATCCCAACCCCTCTCCTGCCATCTGGAGGCACCAGCCCCGCAGAGATTTGGGAAATCACCGCTGCCCCGTGCTGGGTGTGTCCCCAGAGTTCAACCTGTCCCACCCTGTCCAGGCAAGAGATCCCTCAAAACAGCGTGAAACTCCTCTGCTGAGCCAAAGGAGACGCAGTTTATGACTGAGGGTCATTCCATGGGCAATGGAGCTGGGAACAGGACTGAGCCCGGCTGCCCTGCTCAAAGCCATGAGCCATCATGGTCCCACAACTGTGGGTTTCTGTAGGGTGCCACATGTCCAGCAGTGTCTCACAGAGCTGTCACCTCCACCACAGTGTCCCCAGGGTCGTGTCTCCCGTCGTCACTCCCGCCTTTCTCCTCAAACACCCTCCGCAGAGCCACTTTGATGGAGCGCTGGAAGCGGCGCCGCCGGCAGCTCCCCACCAGCACATAAATCACCGGGTTGAGGGTGCAGTTCAGCAATGCCAGCAGCAAGGAG